ACGACGACGACGACGACGACGACGACGACGACGACGACGACGACGACGACGACGACGACGACGACGACCGCGACGACGACGACGACGACGGCGACGGCGACGGCGACGGCGACGACAGCGACGACGACGACGACGACGGCGACGACGACGACGACGACGACGACGACGACGACGACGACGACGACGACGACGGCGACGACGGGGACGACGACGACGACGACGACGACGACGACGACGACGACGACGACCTCGGATTAAGACCCTTCGGCAGTTGTCGCGGCCTCTTCGAATCCCACCAGCCCTTTGGGCGTGAGTGGTTTAGAGAGCCCGCTCTGTCCTCAACCCCCCTTCTTCCCCTTCGGGGAGGGGTTTACCCCTCCCCCTACCCCCTCCCCCTGGACCTGGAGAGGGAGTCCCGAGCGTCGTCAGGGGAGTCTTTTTCGACGCCTGGGAGGGCCAAAAAACAACGACCCTCACGAGGATTCTGGCCCCGAGGGGGGGGAGGCAGTTTGGCGCCTCAGCTCGTCGTTGAAGCAAAAAACATTGATTTTACTACGGTGTTGGCTCCATTTTGGCCTTCTGAGGGGGCCGCGTTCCTCTTCCTTCTTAGCAAAATCAGTGAATTTACAAAGGTTTTGGGCTCATTTTGTCCTTCTCAGGGGTCAGCGCTTATTTGCGCTTCTGAGGAGGTCGCAAGAGGCCCCAAGATAGCCCCAAGAGGCCCCCAGGAGTCTCCCAAGAAGCCTCCAGGAGGCCCCCAAGAGGCCCCCAAGAGGCCCCCAAGAGGCCCCAAGAGGCTCCAAGAGGCCCCCAAGACGCCCCCAAGAGGCCCCCAAGAGGCCCCCAAGACGCCCCAAGAGCTCCAAGAGGCCCCCAACAGGCCCAACGAGGAGCCCGAACGACTCACACCAGGACGAGAGACCCCAACGACTCACACCACGAGGAGCCCGAACGAGTCACACCACAAGGAAGGACCCGAACGACTCACACCAAGACGAGGCGCCCGAACGACTCACACCAGGACGAGGGCCCCGAACGACTCACACCACGAGGAGCCTGAACGACTCACACCAAGAGGAGGAGCCCGAACGACTCACACCAGGACGAAGGGCCCGAACAACTCACACCACGAGAAGCCCGAACGACTCACGCCAGGACGAAGAGCCCGAACGACTCAAACCACGACGACTCACACCAGGACGAGAGGCCTGGAGATATGCGGGGGCAGGCGGAAACACGCCTGAAAAACACGACTGTCAGCATGCTTCGCAAGAGTTGCTGTTTTGAGATGGGCTGGTGGGGATACACGCGAAGCGTGAAGAATTTCCTTCCGGCCGGACGTCTGGCCTTGAAACAATTGTTACGATTATAATTGCGTGTGGGCCACTAGGGAAACTTTTTGGGCCCTCTTGGGCGGTTTTAGATCCACGACGACGACGACGACGACGACGACGAAGACGACGACGACGACGACGACGACGACGACGACGACGACGATGGCGACAACGACGACGACGACGACGACGACGACGACGACGACGACGACCTCGGATATAGACCCTTCAACTGTTGTCGCGGCCTCTTCGAATTGCCCTCCGGCCGGGAATGTGGCTTCCAGACGCCTGTCACGATTCCGATTGCGCGCGTGCCCCTACGGATGTTTTTGGGGACCTACTGGCAGTTCTCGGTCGGCGAGAACGACGACGACGACGACGACGACGACGACGACGACGACGTCGGATGAGGACCACTCAGCCGTTGTCGCGGCCTCTTCAAATATCTTTCTGGCCGGACGTCTGGCCTTCGAACGCCTGTTACGATTCTGACTGCGCGCGGGCCCCTAGGGAAGCTTTTGGGGACCTCTCGGGTGGGTTTCGAGGCTCGCGTCGACTCTCGCGGGAGCTTGCTGGAGGCCTCGGGACTCTGGGGGGCACTTTAGGGGCTATCGGGACCTCTCGGGCGGTTCTCTGGCGACAACGACGACGACGGCGACGACGACGCCGACGCCGACGACGACGACGACGACGACGACGACCTCGGACTAAGACCCTTGAGCGGTTGTCGCGGCCTCTTCGACTGTCCTTCCAGCCGGGCGTCTGTCCTTCAAACGCCTGTTGCGATTATGAATGTGCGCGGGCACCTCTCGGGCGGCTCCTAGGGCCCGCGTCGGTTCTCGTGGGAGCTCGCTGGAGGCCTCGGGAGACTCCGGGAAGCACTCTAAGAGCGATCGGGAAAGCCACGCGACCTCGAGGGGAACCCCTTGGCGACGGCGGCGGCGGGCGGCGGAAGGCGACGGCGCGGCGCTGCGGGCCCCTTGAGAAGCTTTTGGGGGCCCCATGGGTGTGTCTCGGGGCTCGCGTCGGTTCTCGTGGGAGCTTGCTTGAGGCCTCGGGAGATTCTGGGGGACACTCTGGGGGCTATCGGAAAGCCACGTGACCTCGAGGGGAATCCCTGGGCGACGGCGGCGGCGGGTGGCGAAGGCGACGGCGCGGGAGTGCGCCTGCGTCTGCTGCCAGCAGCATGTCCCACTGCTCCACCGTCAGGAGCTCCTGGAACGGGGCGCGCGTGAGGTCAAGCGTGGAGGTCTCACTGGAGCAGGGCTGGAGCGTTGGGCCGTCGCAGGGCTCTCTGGAGCCGTCCTGAGGCCCTCAGGGCTGTCTTGGCGCCCTCGTGGGGTCGTCTTGGGCTCTACTGGGGGCCTCCTGTGGCCCTCTCGGGGCTTTCCTGGGGGCCTTTTCGTGCCTTTTGGGGTCCGTCTTGGGCTGTCCTGGGGCTCCCTGGGGCCGTCTTAGGGCTTAGGGGCCCTCTTGGACCGTCTTGGGGCTCTCTTGGGTGCCTCTGGGGCAGTGTTGGGGCGGTCTTGGAGGCTCATGAAACCGTCTTGGACGCTCAAATCGAGTCTGCCAAAAGTGCACGTTTTCAGGAGTGGTGGGTGCCCTTTGGGGGGCCTCAGGGCTGGTGGGGGCCCTTTGGGGGGCTTCAGGGGGCAGCTTGGGAGCGTCTGGGGCCGTCCTGGAGCCGTCCGCGGGGCGTGCCGCGTCGATCTGGGGCAGTCTTGGACCGTCTGCTGCGCGCTCGGGGCCGCTCGGAAGGCTCGGCGGCAGCCCCGAGGGCCGCCCGGGGCGGCCCGAAGCGCCCGAGGGCCCGCTGGGAGCGGCCCAGAGGGAGCCGGTTCGCTGCCACTGCTCGCCAATCCGGGGAGCCGTGAACGCTGCATTGTAGGATAGGTGGTATCGGGCTCCAGCTTCGTCTCGACCATCTGGCTGAGCAGCGTCAGGGCCTGCTGCCACTGCTTAGCGTTCCCGCACGCGCTAATCCCAGCACTGTAGCTGACTAGTGTGAACCCGTGGAAAATCCACGGCCTGCTGTTCAGAAGCATTTGGAAGCCTCTTGGGAGCCAGTGCGGCTGTGTGGGAATCTCGTTGGACTGTCTTCGGGATCTCCTGGGGGTTCCTTGGGCCGCCTCGTGGGCCGCCTCGGGCAGCGTTGGGGCCGTCTCGCACGCGTCGGGGGCCGTGTTGGGAGCCTCTGGGGCTGCACTGGCGTCAGCGGATGTCGTGGCCTCTCCGAAGTTCCTTCCAGCCGGACGTCTGGCCTTCAAACGTCTGTTACGATTATGATTGTGTGTGGGCCCCTAGGGAAGTTTCTGGGGACCTCTTGGGTGGTTCTCGGGCGACGACGACGACGACGACGACGACGACGACGACGACGACCTCGGATTAAGACCCTTCAGCGGTTGTCGTGGCCTCTTCGAATTTCCTTCCAGCCGGACGTCTGGCCTTCAAACGCATGTTACGACTCTGATTGCGTGCGGGCCCCTAGGAAGCTTTCGAAGACCTGTGGGGTGGTTCTCGGACGACGACGACGACGACGACGACGACGACGACGACGACGACGACGACAACGACGACGACGACGACGACGACGACGACGACGACCTCGGATGAAGACCCTTCAGCAGTTGTCGTGGCCTCTTCGAATTTCCTTCCAGCCGGACGTCTCGCCGTCAAACGCCTGTTACGATTCGGATTGTGCGCGGGCCCCTAGGAAAGCGTTTGGGACCTCTTGGGTGGTTCTCGGTGCTTGCGTCGTCTCTCGGGGGAGCTTGCTGGAGGCCTCAAGAGACTCTGGGGGACACTCTAGGGGCGATCGGGACCTCTCGGGTCGTTCTGGGGCGACGACGACGACGACGACGACGACGACGACGACGACGACCTCGGATTAAGACCCTTCAGCAGTTGTCGTGGCCTCTTCGAATTTCCTTCCGGCCGGATTTCTGGCCGTCAAACGCCTGTTACGATTCTGATTGTGCGCGGGCCCCTAGGAAAATCGTTGGGGACCTCTTGGGTGGTTCTCGGGGCTGGAGACTCTGGAGGACACTCTAAGGGATATCGGGAAACCGCGTGACCTCGAGGGGAACCCCTTTGGCGACTGCGGCGGCGGACGGCGGAAAGCGACGGCCGTCGAACTCCCAGTAATCGGCAGGGTGACTCGGGCCGTCTTGGCGGCGCCTCCCGTGGCCCACTTGGGGCTCTCTGGGGAGCTTCTTGAAGGCTCCGTTTGGGGCACTTTTGGGCCGTCGCAGGAGCCATCCTGGGGCCCTCCTGGGCCGTTTTGGAAGGCTCGGGCTGTCTTGGCGCCCTCGTGGGGTCGTCTTGGGCTCTCTTGGGGGCCTCCTGTGGCCCTCTCGGGGCTTTCCTGGGGGCCTTTTCGTGCCCTTTGGGGTCCGTCTTGGGCTGTCCTGGGGCCGTCTTAGGGGCCCTCTTGGACTGTCTTGGGGCTCTCTTGGGTGCCTCTGGGGCAGAGTTAGGGGCGGTCTTGGAGGCTCATCCGGCCGTCTTGGACGCTCTGCCGACCCACAAAGCGAGTCTGCCAAAAATATACGTTTTCCGAAATGAATGGGGCGATTTGTTGGCGCGTGGGGCCTCAAGGAGCAGCTTGGGAGCGTCTGGGGCCGTCCTGGAGCCCTCCGCGGGGCGTGCCGCGTCGATCTGGGGCAGTCTTGGACCGTCCGCTGCGCGCTCGGGGCCGCTCGGAAGGCTCGGCGGCGGCCACGAGGGCCGCCCGGGACGGCCCGAAGCGCCCCCAGAGGAAGCCGGTTCGCTGCCTCTGCTCGCCAATCCGGGGAGCCGTGAACGCTGCATTGTAGGATAGATGGTATCGGGCTCCAGTTTCGTCTCGACCATCTGGCTCAGCAGCGTCAGAGCCTGCTGCCACTGCTGACCTTTCTCGCAAGCGCTGATCCCAGCGTTGTAGATAATGGTATTGGGCTCCAGCTTCATCTCGACCATATCGCTGAGTAGCGGCAGGGCCTGCTGCCACTGCTGACCTTTCTCGCAAGCGCTGATCCCAGCACTGTAGCTGATGACAGTGGGCTCCAATTTCGTCTCGATCATTTGGCTAAGCAGCGCCAGAGCCTGCTGCCACTGCTGACCTTTCTCGCAAGCGCTGATCCCAGCGTTGTAGATAATGGTATCGGGCTCCAGTTTCATCTCGACCATATAGCTGAGCAGCGGCAGGGCCTGCTGCCACTGCTTACCTTTCTCGCAAGCGCTGATCCCAGCACTGTAGCTGATGACAGTGGGCTCCAGCTTCGTCTCGACCATCTGGCTGAGCAGCGACAGGGCCCGCTGCCACTGCTGACCTTTCTCGCAAGCGCTGATCCCAGCGTTGTAGACCATGACGTTGGCCTCAACAGTCGATGCAACCATCTCGCTGAGAATAGATAATGCCCATTGCCACTGCTGTCCTTTTCGACATGCGCTGATAGTGGCAACGTAGTAGCCCTGGCTGTGCTTGACACGTTTGTTAGATGCCTCGCAGAACAGTTGCAGCGCTTCTCTCAAATTTTCTGTCATTCCGGACTTCTTTGCGGCCGCTTTGAAAGGAGAGTCGTCTGGTCCAGATCCTGGCCAAGCGCCTAACATCCAAAATATCCAGGGCGGCACTCGATCTGGAAAGTCAGGTACTACCGATTGAACCGGAGGCTCGGGCCAAGGTGGCTTGAACCAAAGTGCCTTGAACCAAGTTGCCTTGAGGGTAATCATCCTGCCGAGCAATTAACCAAGAATCCTCAATACATATTCCTGAGCAAGGAAAAAATACTAAAGAGTCCTTCGTAAAGGATCATTCTCAATACATTAGAAACGAAAGGATCCTTATTCAAGAGCCCTCACTAGGGAATCCTTGATGGAAAATCCTTGGAAAAGATACCTTAATAAAGAATGAGGAAGACGAGGAGGAGGAGGAGGACCGTAAGGAACAGTCGGAGACATCAATACCCCACGAATTGTAAAACAGAACGTTCCGACCCCAACAAAATTAGCCTGGTGAAGGACCCAACCATATGCAGTTGTAAATACCGCAATTATAGGTATATCCTTCGGTGGAGCCCCCTTTATAGGAACACGAAACGCTGTACCGGGCGGGGGAGACGCATGCGGACTGCGCCACTGGAACCCTCGGTGGAGCTCTTGATGGGGCCACGAATAGCTGTACCGGGTGGGGGAGACGCATGCGGGCTGCGACACTGGGACCTTCCGTGGAGCTCACTACAGGACCACAAAACGCTGTGCTCGGTGGGGGAGACGCATGCGGGCTGCGCCCCAGGGACCGTCGGTGGAGCTCCCTACGGGGCCACGAAACGCTGTACTGGGAGGGGGAGACGCATGCGGGCTGCGACACTGCCACACTAGGACCTTCGGTGGAGCTCCCGAATAGCTGTACTGGGTGGGGGAGACGCATACAGGCTGCGACACTGGGACCTTTGGTGGAGCTCCGTATGGGGCCACGAAGCGCTGCACTGGGTGGGGGAGACGCATGCGGGTTGCGCCCCTGGGACCGTCGGTGGAGCTCCCTGCGGTGCCACGAAAAGCTGCACTGGGTGGGGGAGACGCATGCGAGCTGTGCCACTGTGACCTTTGGTGGAGCTCCCCATGGGGCCACGAAGCGCTGTACTGGGTGGGGGGGACGCATGCGGGCTGCGCCGCTGGGACCGTCGGTGGAGGTCCCTACGGGGCCACGACACGCTGTGCTGGGGTGGGGAGCTGCGCCACTGGGATCTCTGGTGGAACGTATAATGGGGCCACGAAACGCTGTACTGGGTGGGGGAAACGCATGCGGGCTGCGCCCCTGGGACCTTGGGTGGAACGCATAATGGGGCCACGAAACGCTGTTCTGGGTGGGGGAGACGCATGCGGGCTGCGCCCCTGGGGCCTTCGGTGGAGCTCCCTGTGGTGCCACGAAGCTTGTGAGGGGTCTGCCAAAACGGGTCGGGTCATGATATGAATCCAACCACTGGCGCCTTGGGTTGAACTCCTGGTGGACCACAAAACGTGTGAGATGTGTGCCGAAATGGGCCAGGTCACCACGTGAACCCAGCCACGGGGGAATTCGGTGGAGCTCCCTGCGGCCACGAAAATTTTGAGGGGTTTGCCGACATGGGGCGGGTCACCGTGTGAGAGGTGTGCCGACATGGGGCGGGTCACCATGTGACCCCCAGCCACGGGGCCGTTAGTTGAGCACCCTGGGGCCACGAAACGTATGAGGTGTCTGCGAAGTGGGGCGGATCACAAAGTGAACCCAGCCACTGGCGCCTTCGGTGGAGCTCCCTGCGAAAAAAAAGGAGCTGAGAGGAGGGGGATGAGATGGAGAAGGAGGTGGGGCGCGGCGCGCGGCGAATTCAAAACAGGGGCCCAACACACAGGAGAGTTGTGGATGTAATTGCATGGCTTCCGGGATGTTCCTCCCAGAAGACAAGGATCCAAATAAATTCGAAGGGCTTGCGAGGTAAGGAAGCGCCAAACCCTGTGAGTCATTCGGGTTTCCGTACTTCTGGAACACGACCCCCTGAATTGCTTTGATTTAAATGTGACGTCTTGTTTATGTATTGCCAACCCTCCTTGGTTGGGTATTCGCTTTGAATAGAGCACTGCGGTCGCGTCTCCTTCTCCTCCTCCTCCCGCCTCCCGCCTCCTGCCTCTCGCTGCTTTCTCTCTCTCTCTCTCTCTTTCTCTTTACCTGTTTCTCTCTTTCTCCCTTGCTCTATTTCTCTCGTTCTCTCCCTCTCTCTCTTTCTCTCTCTCTCTCTCTCTCTCTCTCTCTCTCTCTCTAGTTCTCTCATTATGTTCCCAGCCCTCGTTGGTTGGGTATTCGTTTTGAATAGAGCAGTGCTCGCGCGTCCTTCCTCCCGTTTCCCTCTTATCTCCGCTTGCCTTGTGCGTACCTCTTGTTTGTGTGCATCTTGCTTGCGCCACTTTCGAGGGCTGCTGGGGGGGGGCAGCATGATGGGTAGCTGCCGCAGACCCAAATTAAACCTCGCCATCCCTGGGGGGGCTGCGATCTGCGAAACTGTCGCCACGTTCGAGGGCTGCTGGGGGGGACAGCATAGTGGGTAGCTGCCGCAGACCCAAATTAGACCTCGCCATCCCTGGGCGGGCTGCGATCTGCAAAACTGTCGCCACTTTCGAGGGCTGCTGGGGGGGGAAGCATAGTGGGTAGCCGCCGCAGACCCAAATCAGACCTCGCCATCACTGGGGGGGGGGCTGTGATCTGCGAAACTGTCGCCACTTTCGAGGGCTGATGGGGGGAACAGCATAGTGGGTAGCCGCCGCAGACCCAAATCAGACCTCGCCATCCCTGGGGGGGCTGTGAGCTGCGAAACTGTCGCCACTTTCGAGAGCTGCTGGGGGGGGGGGCAGCGTAGCGGGTAGCCGCCGCAGATCCAAAGTATACCTCGCCGTCCCTGGGGGGCTGCGATCTGCGAAACTGTCGCCGCTCCTGAAGGCTGCTGGGGGGGGTACAGCATAGTGGGTAGCCGCCGCAAGACACACATTAGACCTCGCCATCCCTGGGGGGGGCTGCAATGTGCGAAACTCTCGCAACTTTCGAAAGCCGCTTGGGGGGGGCAGCATAATGGGTGGTAGCCGCCGCAGACCAAAATTAGACCTCGCCATCCTGCGATGTTCGAAACTGTCGCCACTTTCTTGGGCTGCTGGGGGGGGGCAGCATAGTGGGCAGCCGCCGCAGATCCAAAGCAGACCTCGTCATCCCTGGGAGGGCTGCGATTTGCGAAACTGTCGCCACTTTCGAAGGCTGCTTGGGGTAGTCGCCGCAGATCCAAATTAGACCTCGCCATCCCTGGGGGGCTGCGATCTGCGAAACTGTCGCCACTTTCGAAGGCTGCTTGGGGGGGGCAACATAGTGGGCAGCCGTCGCAGACCCAAATTAGACTTCGCCGTTCCTGGGGGGCTGCGATCTGCAAAACTGTCGCCGCTTTCGAGGGCTGCTTGGAGGAGGCAGCATAGTGGGTAGCCGCCGCAGGCCCAAATTAGACCTCGCCATCCCTGGGGGGCTGCGATCTGCGAAATTGTCGCCACTTTCGAGGGCTGCTGGGGGGGACAACATAGTGGGTAACCGCCGCAGACCGAAATTAGACCTCGCCATCCCCTGGGGGGGGGCTGCGATCTGCTGAACTCTGCTAAACTGTCGCCATTTCCGAATGCTGCCCGGTGGGGGGACAGCATAGTGGGAGGCTACCGCAAAACCAACTTAGACCTCGCCATCCCTGGGGGGCGCTGCGATCTGCGAAACTGTCGCCGCGTTCGAGGGCTGCTGGGAGGAACAGCCTAGTGGGTAGCCGCCGCAGACCCGGATCAGACCTCGCCATCCCTGGGGGGGCTGTGAGCTGCGAAAGTGTCGCCACTTTCGAGAGCTGCTGGGGGGGGGGGGCAGCGTAGCGGGTAGCCGCCGCAGATCCAAAGTATACCTCGCCGTCCCTGGGGGGCTGCGATCTGCGAAATTGTCGCCGCTCCCGAGGGCTGCTGGGGGGGTACAGCATAGTGGGTAGCCGCCGCAAGACACACATTAGACCTCGCCATCCCTGGGGGGGGCTGCAATTTGCGAAACTCTCGCCACTTTCGAAAGCCGCTTGGGGGGGGCAGCATAATGGGTGGTAGCCGCCGCAGACCCAAATTAGACCTCGCCATGGGTCGGAAGAAATTACTCTGGTGACCTAGCTGTTGGAGGCTCGCGGTGCAAAGTGCGTTGCGGCCTTGTGCTGGGAACGCTTGTCTACGGCAGGCGTTTTGCACACAGTCTGTCGGGTGTATTCTCAGGGGGCCGGCTGCGCGCCACTTGAATAGGGGCCTCTCCCACAGTCCAGACTTCCGGCCCGAGCCGATTCGCTCGCTCACACCGGAGCGTTCAGGAGCGGCGCCCCCGACGACGACGACGACGACGGCGGCGACGGCATCGGCGGCGGCGCGGGAGGTGAGAGGAGACGGGTAGAGAGGGTGAAAGGGGGAGGGCTGAGCGGGGGTGGTGAGAGGGCCGAAAGGACTGAGGGGGGGAAAAAAAAATCGTCGGGGAGGAGGGGGCACTGGGCGCGGATGGGGAG